GCTGCTGGAACCACCTATCCTGATGTAATTCATCCCAATGGGCAGCACGAAAAACACCCAGTAACGGACGCACGGTGACAGGAGGTGTGCTCAGAAGCTGATCTTCAGCCCAGATCTGAGTTTTTATGCAACCATGGAAAGGTTGCATAACCATGACATGTTGTATGTCACTCTTATGCCTTGGTTCCTACTATACAAACTGTGCATCATAAAATCCCTACAAGAGATCAGTGGACAGAATTAGAGGAGAACATTTATCTGGCTGTTTGGCTTTTTTTTTCCTTTCTCAGCACAGCTGGAGAGTACTGTACCAACCTGTTCTGCTCCCTGCCCAAGGCATCACCATCCCAGGTTGTCCAGAGAGGCAATGGTGTCCTTTCCTGCAGACAGCCAAGGTCAGGAGATGGGCTGTGAGCACTGATGGAGCTGTAGGTGTCCCTGTTTGGTGCAGGGGTGGCACCAGATGGCCTTTATGGGTCCCTTCCAACTCCAACCATTCCGTCATTCTATGACCTCGATTGGGACTCAGGGACGAAAAGGACAGCGAGGGCTACTTTGAACCCAGACCTCTGAACAGGATGGAAAAAATGATTATTTTAATTTACAAGAAGTGCTGCTAATCCCACTAACGGGTCACATAAGACATTCCTTATTCCATGAACAAATCTAAGAGGCAACTGCTTCAGTACCAAATGGGAGCACCGGGAATTAAAAAGTCATACGGAGAAACACTGGGATGTAATCTGATGTAAACCCCAACTCCCAAACAAAGTTATGCAGGCACAAACATACACTGAAACATAAGAAACAGATAAGCATCCACCACAGAGAGTGGAATAGCATGACTTACAACATTACCAGCACTTGTATCTAAATTTACCTTAAAAACATTCACCCTTTCAGAGCTTGTGGTGCTGCTGAGTGATTTCTATTCCACGTGATGACTTCCTAAATGGAAAAGCACTCTCAAGTTATGACAATAATGAGAGAAGTCTGTGATAGCATTTAAAATCACCCATTTCTCCTTTGGGGAAAAAAAAAAAAAAAAAAAAAAAAAAAAAAAAAAAAAAAAAAAAAAAAGAGTTTAAGTATGCTCTACATACCAATTTATAAACTGCTTCAATTTGATTCTCTGTGATGAATTTAATCCCAGAACAGCGACCTCAGCTCCAGCTTACATGGATCTGTATGGTGCTCCGTTGCCCTCTGGGTGTTGGTTTGAGATCCCCCAGCAAAACACACCTGAGAGCAATCCGGTAATTAACTGAGGTTAACCTCAGCTGAGTTCCCAAAGGGGCAAATGACTGAAAGTTGAAAGGCCTCTTGATACAACCACAGCCTGATAGCCTCTGGACAAGGGTGATTATGGGCTGGAGGACACCTGAGCAATGGGGTCAATTAATGGCCGAGAGAAGGGCGTGCTTGAAGCATAAGAAGATGCACCTCTTTTAGTACGTAATCACTGTGTCCTCTGAGCCTGCCAGAATGCAATCAGCCAAAAAAAAACTACCAAGGACACAGAATTGTGTTTGGTTTCTTTAATAAACTGTTCTAACATCCATCGTTTCCACACTGCTTGAAGAAAAAGTGCTCTCATGACCTTTGTTGCTGCTCCTGGGTCTGCTGTCCGGGTTGGTTTCTGTGCAGACCTATCAAAACTGAACAGCTGGTGAAATGGCATTTTTTTTTTCTTCCTAATATACAGCAGTAAATGTTGCTGTTAGAGAAAGGAGATTTGCACTTCTCTGTTGGGAAATGACATGATCAGAGGAATAAGCGACACCAAACTGAATATTCATCCTTTGTGTTCCTGGTTCTGAGAATAGAGCTTGAGTAACTTGAAAGGGACAAACAGGGACCTTCCAGAAAACCAATGCTGCAATGTTAGAATAATTCCTGGCACTCTCTTACCTTACTGATGAAGTCTCAGGTGAGCTTCAGACTTAAATAACCCCACAGCTGCAGCACAGCCTGAACTCAGACAGACGCCTGAGGAAAACACGTTGAACTCTGTGTTATTACTTAGCACTGATGATGATTTAGGTTGATTGGTTTCTGAATGAAATCATCCATTTAAGATACTGCTATCTCCAGAAAATTAAAGGCAAGGATCCTGAAAATCAGCACACCTATTTCCTAAGGGTGAGGGTGAACAAAGTAAGGAGGGAAGGAGTGTGGGGGAAGTAAACCCCAGCTGTCCTGGCAATGGAATATGTAAAATTAAAGTAAATAAGTAAATAGAGATGCAGGAGAGAATAAAAAAGCAAAGGACCCCAGGGGTAAGAAACTTCTATAGGAGACAAATGTACAGCTGCCTGCTTCCCCCTCTGGCAGCAGCAGCTTTGCATGTTCATCAAATCAGAATCGTCAAATGCTGTGGACTTTCAGCACCTTCCACAGAGCTTCTGAGTTCTGCAGATGAAGCAATGCTGTACGCCCTGCCAGGGCCACACAGCCCCAGACTTCACAAACACAACTGGTTTTCAGCAGTGCATCTGAAGGGTTAGACCCTATCCCTCATAGGGTAAAGCTTAATGAATGTGTGCCTTATCAGATGGCTGGAACAGCTGGAAGTAGTAATGTGCCATAATGTAAAGAAGCAGTAAAATGCATCCTAATGACTGTCACTCAGCCAGCAGTTGCTGTGCAATGTGAATAAGAAACACTTTGAATCCTTTCTAAATAACTGGCGTTATGTGTTTATGCAGGACTGGAATTGCATATTAAGACACACCTGGTTTATTCTTCAGAAGCAGTGTGTATTTACTATGCCTGTGATAGCTGTATAGATTCAAACCTCATTATTTTAAATGATTAATCGGGTATTTAATTAGCATGCATTAACATATGAGTTATATACATCCCAGTTGTGAATGCAAATATAATTCTAATAATTACATGATTAGTTATGCGTCCAAGAGCCTAATACATAATGCAGTGCAGGCAGCTTCCCTTGCTGGAGAAAAATAGTACAGAATACACGGAGCGTAACTTTGAAAAAATGCTTAAATTCCATTTTCAGAGTGGAATTGGATCTACAGAAAGAGTTCTGAGGCTTCATAGTGGCCCAGCCCAATGGAACACCTCCATGCCCCATCCCAATGGAACACCTCCATGCCCCATCCCTGCAGACAGCCACGGTCAGGGGACAAGCTCTGAGCACTGAAGGAGCTGTGGGTGTCCCTGCTCAGTGCAGGAGTGTGAGATGGCCTTTAGGGGTCCCTTCCAACTCCAATCATCCTGTGGTTCTACAATTCTTTCTGGAATATAAGTAAGGCTCCTTTGCAGCACTGAGACTTCCCCTGCTGCTGATAGGTAAAGCTGCTGCCGTTCTTGCGTGCGCTCCCCCTGAGCACTGAAAAAGGCAGAGAAATCCCAGCTCCTCTTCTGGGCTTCAGCAAAAAATGCTCCCCTTAACTGGTGTCTGTGAAACAAAACTGTCAGGCCAATTCTCAGCTGCCATGCTGCCTCCTATCCCTCCTTTCCAACAGTCCCACACCTCATATTCACATGCTTTTGGACCAGCTGTTGCATACTTTAGGTATTTCTATTTCTACCTATAGCCCATGGTATGAGAACTCTGCCCAGAGCTGTGGGTGCCCCATGGCCAGGCTGGATGGGGCCCCAGGCAGTCTGAGCTGGTGAGGACACCCAGGGGTTGGACCTGGATAATTTTTCAGGTCCCTTTCAACCATTCCATGATCCTACAAAAAGGAGATCACCCTATTTGGCTATGGCTGCACAAATGCAGCTGACTATAAATATTGAGGACTTACTGCTGGAGACGAGCCCTTCACATCAAATCCATCATGGGGGAAAGCATCACCAAAGCATCTTTTCTGAAGATGCCTGGACAAACAGCAGTGCCCAGGGCTACCAACCCCCCTTTGCCAACCCTAGGTACATTTATATTAAAAGGACACATTAATATTGCATGCTTTGAGAGTAAATACACATAAATTATTGCTGACGGTGAAGGTAAAGGCATGGATTCCCATCTGGAAGAGGGGAACAGCTTTATGGCTCTGGGGTCAGGGACATGCCTGCTGCACCACGAGCGGCTCAGATGGCACAGCAGGGTTGGATGTTCCCTTTGCCGTATGTCACATAATTCTGGGCTTTTGTGCAAACTGCCAGGAGACAAGGAAAACACAGCATTACTGGGGGAAAATCAAATATTCCATTTTCTAGACAAACCGTAGGAGCTCTGGGCTGTCTTTGGTAATAAAAGTATTAGTGTTTCTACATGAATGTGCTGGCCTAATCCCAGGCTGATTAGTGAAGAATAACAAGCCTACCTGGCCATCTGCAGCCTGCAGGGAAAGAGCTGTGCTCTTGGAGTTTTTAAAAACTGATTTTCTCACTGCATGCAATCTGCAGTGAAATAAAAAAATGTGTTCAACCCTATTCCAAGAAATAAATGAACAGATCCCTGCGGTTCCTTTATCCTTGCTCCTCTCTCCTTGCATCCATTCACACCCAGCATGGCCAGCACAGCACCCATGGGTGAGCCCTAGGGGAGCCCCCAGCTCAGCATGACCCAGCACAGGGTGAGGCTTCTGCTCTGCTGGGTCAGGGCTTTTTAAATCAACTGGAAGGCAGATGTAAAGGAAGACAAAGTCTGGGGCCTGATCCAAAGGCAATGGAAAGCCTGGGACAAAAAGGACTTCACTGCGCTCTCTAAGCCTGTGTGAGCACCCTCACAGCTGCAATTTGCAGTGGCTGAAATCCCCCTTAGCAGGGACGTCTGACACTGATAGGCTCTGACACACACCCTCAGATCACTGCACCAGTTAGAATGAAAATACAACAAACAGTTCCCAGCTTCTCCAGAGGCAACGCAACCTGGAGGCAGAAGTCAGTGTACTGAAAAGTCCTGGCAGCGAGTGGAGTCATTGCTCTGCTCTGCACTGTGCACCTGCACAAGTCTGCAGGAGGGAGATAACGGGGAGAGATGTGGCTGAATGCAGACACCCATCAGCCTGGCCCTAACAGCTGTGCCAGCAGTGGGGTTACGGCAGGAGACATGCACATCCTGCACAGCATCCTTGCTGTCACATCAGAATCATACAGTCATAGAATGGCTTTGGTTGGAGGGGACCTTAAAGATCATCCAGTTCTGCCCCTCTGCTGCAGGCTGGGTGCCACTCACAGGTCAGGCTGCACAGGGCCCATCCAACCTGGCCTTGAATGCCTCCAGAATCACTGCTCCGCTCCAGCATCCCCAGGGCTGGATCCAGCTCTGCTCTGAAGCTCTGTTTAGAGCGGGAGATGTGGGTTCCTGTTTGGTTTGGGGCTTTTTTTAATTGCTGGATTCCTCTGAAGGCCATTGAAATGTAGGAACATCAGCTCCCACTGCCTCAAGTGAGTTCCCACCCACATGGCAAGTGTGAACCTTGACTTTGGCAAAAGGAGATTGCTAGGGCTCCCATCTTTTCCTGATGTTTACCAAGCCCCTCCAGCAGATATCTTTGTGCTGTGCAATCAATGGGCACACAAAGAAATGCTGCCCAGGGAGGGCAGCAGCTCAAAGAGAGCTCCCAAGTATCTGAAACCCTTTATTAACAAAAGGTTGAGTTCCACTCTAAGGTAACAGTGGGTTGAGTTTGCACAGGAAATGACTCGAGGCAGTTAGAATGTATTTTTGCCATCATAAAATGATCTCTTCTCAAGAGTTCTAATATAAGAAGATCCTCAAGGCTCTGTTGGAGCCCTGACTGCTCTGTCATTAGAACAGCATGCAATCTGCACTCCTCTTCTACTGCAAAAATTGGGGATAAAGCCTTTGATCTCCCTTTTCTTGTGGCACACCACAGTCTTTGTCAGGGATACTTCTCAGGACCTGAGATCTCAGGCTTCTTTCTGAGCCTCGAGGGCAGTGGAAGAGCAGGAGGTGAGGGAAGATCCTGTAGATTTAAATTTAAGGGGATGTTTGACTGCAGGAGACAGATGTCAATGAAAGTATTAATGATGAGCTTTCAGAAGAAGGGGGTGCCGTTTGGTTTTGCTTATAGCTTTGCAAACCACGAGTGCAAACCACTGAGATCCGTGAGTTACACACAGTCCATGGCTTTTTTCTTTTTTTTTTTAAATAACTCTTTGCACCTGAGTGAATCAAAGAATCATAGAATCACTGAGATTGGAAAAGAGCTCTCAGATCCCCAAGTCCAACCCCAGCCCATCCCACC